AATAGTATGCTGTATTGCAGCATGAAAACATGCAAATTAGAAATATTTGTTAAAAACTATCTATTAGTGTGAAGTTAATATAGTCTTCTTATTCCCATCACAGCCCTTTGTATGAAGTGTCAGGCAGCACTAATTTTTCAATTTAAAGAACCTGCATTTGTGTAGGTTATATGGAAATGAAAACCCAACACTGAACTGAATGCAGTACAGAACTGCACTCACATCATCCTTGTTTGCCACTATTAACGTCTCTGCTTTCTTCTTTAGTCAAACTAAACTATGTCAATATTTGCTAAAATTATTTTGGTCTTCAACTAATCTTATTGTTTGGCATCCTTCACCAAGACTAGAGTAGGAGATATGTAAATAGCCACCAACACATCCTCCTTTGACTAGACCAACTGTTTATTGGCCATTACCTGATTACTTGATGTTTTGTTTGGTCTTCACTTAGTTTCAGGCTCCTGAGTTTCTGTTTGATGTGATGATTCTACCTGAACAGAGCCTCGATGAGATTCTTCTGTTTGCCCAGCAGGCTGAGTAGGTGCTTTTGGCTGATCAAATGCATCTAACCTCTTTTCAACCACCTCACGAATCAATGCTGAAATGACAAATATAGTTACCATAGGGCAGAGCAGGAGATGATTTCAGATATTATTGATTGACTCACAGGACAATAGTGAAATACAATAGTGAATGCAGAAAATTTTATCTAAGGAGGAAAAGCACTTACTAAGATTGTGATATATGTTTAGCCAAATTAGTTGTAGTTACCTCAAGACAATTACTTTAAAAGGTTCTGTTAAATTGTTTTAATATTCCTCCCCTCCCTTATCCAATGTTCCTCCATAATTGCTGGGCTATGCCAGGAATCAGTTCTAGTTAGGGACAGCTGTACTTAGTATCACTTTCATTATAACCCAAGATAGTAAATATTGAAGGCAAGGGATCCCTCCAAAGCAAGAAGAATTTAACATATTATATTTCTGAAGAGCAGCATAGTTAAAGATCACTTTCACTGAAAAAAAAAGCAACAACAAAACAATACTGTTTATTCTCTTAAAGATCAGTAAATACTACAAAGTGTGGGCTCACACTTAAAAAATAGCCCCAAATTAAATAAAAAGAGTTTGTATTTGTAAAACAGCACAGAAAATGAAATATAGAGGTGCCAGTAATAGCACAATGGCTAAGACTGAGTTGAGTTTTATACTTAATGCAGGGATTCACCCTCTCTGCTATGTATTTTCCCCAAAATTGCAGCACTTAATTTATTCGGCACTCAAAGATTTTCATTAAATTTAGAAGTAAATCCATTAATTTTCAAGTAAAAATTAATTGAAAAAATAGATCCCATGAGAAGTGAAGAACTTTATTTGAGCTTTTATTATTGTCTCTGGTAGATACACAGTGCACTCTTCCTGTTTCAATTGCCTCTTCGGCAACTCAGCCTCTTTCCAAGTCACACACCCTGTGTGTGATCATGCACAAAACTCTTTCCAGGCTACACATCTACCGGGGCCCACCTTGGTTCCCTCTTACGTGTCCCTCTGAGTCTGTTCCCTTCGACTGTTTCCCACTCAGGATGAGAGTGGTACTTGCAGGGCTTCCCCTCCTGGAGACAGTGTCTTTCACCCTTATCTCAGGGTTTTATCTCAGAATCCCATAGGGTATGTCTAGACTGCATCCCTCTGTCAGCAGAGGGATGCAGATTAGGCAGGTCGATATTGCAAATGAGGCAGGGATTTAAATATTCCACGCCTAACTTGCATAAAAATGGCCACCGCGTTTTTGCTGACTCTGCACTTTGTCGGCAAAAAGCAGCAGTCTAGAGGGGGATCTGTCGAGAAAGAAAGCCTTTTTTGACATATCCTGTAAGCCTCCTTGCAGGAGGCATAAGGGATCTGTCAAAAAAGGCTTTCTTTCTCGACAGATCCCCGTCTACACTGCCGCTTTTTGCCGACAAAGTGCAGAGTTGGCAAAACGTGGTGGCCATTTTTATGCAAATTAGGCATGGGATATTTAAATCCCTGACTCATTTGCAATGTCGACCTGCCTAATCTGCATCCCTCTGCGGACAGAGGGATGCAGTCTAGACATACCCATAGTACCCATCGATCTCACTAGGCTTGCCACATAGAGTTGTCCATGGTGCTGCTGTTCCCTCAGCCAGTCATTCACCTGGTCTTCATAGCTTCAGGTCTCCAGGGGGCACTGATTACTGTCTCGGGTAGCTCCTTTTATAGGGCCTTTCTGACCCCTGATTGGCTGCTTCTCCTGCAGTCATTCTAGCCTGCTTGGAGGATTTCTTTATGGTTTCTCTGAGCAGGGTATGGCAGTACCACAGGACCTCCCGCAGGGGGCCTCTGGACCTGGTCCACCACATCACAAAGAGACATATGCCAGAAAGGCTAAATGTATGTTAAAAATAATTTTAATCTAATCTGGGATCCCACATACTGATATGCATTAATTAGAAGTGTATGATTATTGCATGGTTTAAGATTGGTGCTTTAACTGCTGCCTGTAAAGGCAGACATTTAAAAAAATACTGTTTAGCACTGATGAGCCAATCAAGAATCAGGGACTGGTTCATTTATCTGATTAACTACTGCTTTAATTCAGAGGAAAGCACAGTAATATGACTGCTGAAGAGTCAAGCAGATGTCTCCATGAAAAATCTGATTAACACTGATCCAGATCACCATACTGATTACATCTAAAATTAATAATGTAAAGTTACTAGCCACATGACTTTTCAGCCAATCATGACCAAGATTTTGTCTTCCATTGTTATTCTTTCATTTAGGATGTCAACATTGCTACATGGTTGGGATAATTTATACATGTGAGGCTACAGGCCTTTTGTTATAAACAAGTGGCCTTAAACAATGTATACGCTTTTCAGTTTAGGGAACAAAAGAACATTCTGTTTGTTCAATGGAAAATTAAATACAAAACATAGTTTTGTTGTCTGTCAAATAAATATAAACTATGTAAATAAGAAGATAAAACAATATTCCTTAACCACTCTACTTCTGCTGAACATAACAGGAATCCTTGTCAAAGGCATTACTCATATGCCGTGTATTGCCAGTAGAGATGTTCTGCTGAAGTATGCATGGTATTTATATTCTTTTCACTGGAACAATAATTGCAAAACAGCAGTGTAAAGCAGGTCTGGGAATTGTCCAACCTGAAGAATAATTAAATAAACAACAACAGTAAAATACCATATCCAATTGGACAATTGCAACTGTTGTTAAAATGTCAGCTAGTTCTTTATTTCACAATAATCCTGCAGTTTTGGCTGAAAAAAAGTTAAGTTTGTAACTTACTGTCAAGCACTGTCCTTCCCAGAATCTTCTTCTCCAATGTCTTATCCACTTCTGCCATCACCCATGGAAGGAATTCTTTCTCAACATCTTTAAGATTTGAGGAGAGAAAAAAGGCGAAAGTATTTTTATTAATGATACATTATAGGACCTTAAGGTCTATTTTCCACATAATGTATTGTTGTTCCTCATTGTTGAATGAAACCTGGTGCATTAAAGACACCTGTCCCATAAAGATCAGGTTTTCCAAGGAACTGAGTCTCCTCAGTTGCCACTGACTTTAGTGGTTGTTGAGAGTGCTCAGCCCCTTGCACAATCAGATCCCAAGTTGGAAATGAAAAATTACATTTAGCTGATTGACAACAAGGTTTAGCAATTTAGCATAGCAACAATTCTGCTTTTAATTTGACTATATCCTGGCCTTTGTCCCATCCAAACTGTTTAATTCTCTGTGTTCAAGGTGTTTCCATATTATCCTATTTTACCAAGACAATCCTATATCTTGCCCTATTTGCAGGATATACATAAAAGACTGCCAGGCAGACTAAAAGCATACTGGGAGGACATGACAAAACTCTTTGGCTAGAAATGGAAAGGATGTGCTTGCAACAAAATGGAATGAGGTGCATTTACAGAGGGACAGATGAAGATAAGCTGGACAAAGGAACACAGGGTCTGCTTGTGCCCAGTGACTGATGCTGTATACAAACTTAGATATTTATGTACTTTCAGGGACCATGAAATGTCACTATGTTCAACACAGTGTTTCAGTGCAACATAACATTTGCATGTAATTGTCCTTAAAAGTGGCACTCTCGGGCAAATATAAGTTGCACATCATACAAGGTAGCTTGTAGCAAAAGTCCAAACAGAACTGTATTGAAAACTTTGGGAATACCTTACAAGTTGTCAACAATGGCAGCAGTTTACTTATTTGAAGTGCACATTGGTTTCACTGTATAAGTGAATTAAAAAGAAAGAATTATAGAACTGGACTCTTTTTAGACCTGACAGCACTCTTTTTTTTGCCAGCAACACTCTACTTATAAGTAGTCTTTATAAGATTCTGAGTGTTTGTTTCTGAGATAGACAGATCAAAGGGTTAGCCTAATTTATAAGTGCAGCACATGCATGACTGGACTGACCCACAGGAAGAACAATTGTTTGAGTTAAACATGTAACTGACATGATTTA